TCAAAGCCAGCTCGGCTAGCGAATGGACCGTTATGCCATGACGGCTCAGTCCAACAGTACCGGAGAAAACATCAAAGTTTTCGAGCTCAGCCGTAGTTTCTAGAACCTTCTCAAGCTCTGTCTCCAGACCCAACTCTCTAAACACCACTACATTATCCTCCACGTCATCTTCCATCATCCAAACCGCCAGCTCGATCACAAATCTCCTGATTCTTGGAACCTTAATCGCAGGCTTGTCGTGCTTTTGCAGAATCGAAACCAATGAGTTCGCCAGTTCGTGCCTCTTGATCCCTGAATCAATGAAAATATAACTTGCTTCTTCTGAACTCATGAATCTAAACACTTGTGCTGCTAATCCCACCATCACTTCCTGTACTTTGTTGTCTTCTGATGTTATCGCCTTCAAAACCTGAAATGAAAGAAAATTTTCGGATTTGTAACTCAATAATTCGAGTTGTACATCAAATTCTTTCAATCAAAATTGTATAACAGAATACTAACCGTTGGTGCTGCTGCTTTAACGAACTTCAGGTCATGAAAGCATGCATCCCCAGAGTATAAGCACAAATTTCTCAGAACTCTCGCAGCGTTCACACGGATCGAAGGAACTTCAAGTGCTTCCACAAGTCTTCCTATAACCCCAAGCCTAAGAACATGGATACAATTGCTCTTGCTCTCCAATACAAGCATCGCTATCGCTTCTCCTGCAGCGATCCTCACACATCCCTCACTCCCGTCGCCCCCTTGTGTTTCATGTTTAAAGAAAATGTTGAACAACTCTTTCAAAACACCACCCGTTCCGCCAATTCTCTCTCGTGCTTCTGTCTCAAGCGCAAGGTTGGTCAAGATCCCGATCCCAAGCTTCTGTAGCTTTGGATATCTTGCTCCATGTCTCAGTACATCCCTCACGTTGCTAACTGTGAATACAATCTCAGAGATCTCTCGCCGGAGCGACTTCCCAGTGTTCCCGGTTGTGCTGGCTAACATTTTCACCAGCTGTAGCGACCGTTTCAATGTCAGAACCTGCGATCTAGCAACATCCGCGTTCTCATCCCTCAGCAGAATTTCATCAGCGTGTGTGAAATCGATTATCTTCGGGAGAAGACCTCTCGTGTTGCCGAGTTTTCCACAGTTGTCATGATCTTTGGCTAATTTCTTCAGAATCAAAAGGCCCAAATTGTTGAATCTCCAAAAATCATAGTGAAGATTATGGTCGTGGAACACTTTCTTCTCTCCAATCTCATCGGGAGCTTCACCTGATGATCTTGTGTTTTCTAATAACGATGAAATCGATTCCATTGCACCAGAAATCCCAGCGACTCTTAAGGAGTTTTGTTTTTTGCCAGCGAGTTTCGATAATATCTCAGCAGCTGATCTCCTAATCTCTTCCTCTTGCAGATCTTTCCAGTTCAACATCTCCACCAACCTAGTGAGATAAAATTTAGTAACAATTTTAATACTTACTCTATTCATTTCTCTATATATTCTGGCAAATATGATATATAAAGAGCTAACCTTTCGATGACGGGAAAGTTAATACCGATCTTCTCAAGTGTATCCTCCGAGTACCGTTCAGTCATTGCAAACTGCCTGAGAATCCTTGCTCCAATGAGCTGTTCATCAGAAGAGTTAGATCCCAAAAGCTCCATACCAAAGCTTACTATATCCATCTTTAGACCATCAAAGATACTCCCATTGATACACTTTGAGTACGAATCATAGAAGAACCTCTTGATGGAGACCAAACCAGTAATCCCAAACTCACACTCTCTAGTCACATTCTCAAGCAAATTACAAACACTGACTTGCCATTCCCAGTAAGCTTTCTCCGCAAGAAACAGCAGCGCCTCGGCAAGGGCGAGCGAGTAGAATATGTTGAGAGCAGACTGTCTGTTCCTCTTGTCCGTGTCTCCTTTGTGAACATCTCCGTAGTTGTGTTTGACAAGCTTGTAAGACGACAATGCCACACAGGCCGTTGCAGACAGAAGCTGAAGCCAGTAGAGTAGACGACTCACAGTACTGGAGATGAAGAACCATCTCGCGTATGGAAGGAGAGGTACCTCTGAGTTGTTCCACGTATCCAACGTCGATTCTCGAACCACGCAGTCTCTAGTCGTCGTCGTCACTTCCCTCGATCGGCTTACAAAGATCGATTCACTACAGAGAACACACGATTGTTCATCAAAATCCTGAATCTGATCTAGCTCAGTTCGAATATGCAGAATTGAAAAAAGGGGAAAAAAACCTGATTCGTTTTAGATTTCTGAGAAGCGAGGCGGAGCCAGACCGGAGAGCGCGAAAGCTACTGATTCCGACGCCGGCGACGGTCCACGTTGCTTGGTGTTGCCATTCGAGCTCGTGGCTTCTGCTGAAGATTCTAGCACCTTCGATTAAGAGAATGATGGTGATGAACCAGAAATCGGAACCCTCGAGGGTGATGGCGAAGCCGCCGAGAAGAACCACCGTAGCCCAGATAAACCCTAGGGTTCCGATACCAGTGGCGGTTTTCTCGAGAATCGCGAGTTGTAGAGCGAAGAGCGTTAGCTTCTTCTCCGGAGCCGGGACCGTCGATTTTCTCCGAAACGCGAACGCGGAGGAGACAGAACCTGCGTCTGCGGTTTCGCCGCTATCGCCTTTCTCAATGCTGCTTCTTAGATCGAAAACGGTGTCGTTTGAGCCTCTCGCTTCCTCCAGTTTCTGAAGCTCCGATACCTATTCAAAAATGAAGAGGATCAGATAACTTTAGTAATTAGAACATACAAAAGATTTTTTTTTGAAAAAATAGTAATTAAACATTGATAAAACTAAAATAGTACTAGTAACTAAACATTGTTTTAAGAAAAGAATATATAATATTAGATGATCATGAATGTACGTGAAAATGTACCTTTTTAACCATACTTAGAGGGCATTAATGAAAAACTTTTTCAAGAGAATACAAACAGTTTAAAGAAAAAGTAAGAAATTAATGGGTGAAAGAAAAAACCTGCAAACGAATGCTTCGATCTTCTTCTTCTTCGAACTTCCTTGAATCCATTTACAAACCTTTCGTTGTTGTTTTACTCGTTAATTTCCCACCTAAATCGCCCAATCAAAATTTGTTCTCTATTTTTTTCTTTCTTTGTCGTTTTTGAATAGTAGTGACTTGAGGAGTTGTTGATAGGATGATGCAATGAAATGTGGAAGGCGTGATATTACTTTGTTC